GGTTTATTCTCTTACAGTTTAGGAGACAAGAATTCTGAGTTCAAAGTGCCAGCTCTAGGGGCTGGGTGAAGGTCCCTTGACCTTGGGCTTCAGCTCTGTCTCTTGGTCCAGGCCCACTGAAGCTGGAGGCTTCTCTTAACTCAGATACCTGTTGGCTGCTGAGGCTGACAAACCCAAGTTTGGTAAGTAACACAGCATAGTCTCAAAATTATCAAACAACATGGCCGGCCACTAGTTCAAATACAGAAATAGTCTCAAGATCAGCAAACAACATGGCAGGCCACCCACTGATAACTCAGCCAAATGAAGGATCAAGATGCACCAAGAAGCCCCAGATCTTCCTCAAAGCTTTTTCTTATATACTGGAAGCAGACGACATCCCTAAGGCAGCTACTTAGCTGCTCACTGTAGATTCCACCATGGAGTTGATTACCAGTTTCATCATGGAGAATAACTATATCCAGCTGCCCAGCCACTCAAAACAAAACAAAAAGACCTCATTGCCACTGAGTTGGATTCGATTCAGTGGCCCTCGCCTTGGGTTTCCGAAGCAGTATCACTATGAAAGTAGATGGCCCAATCTTCCTTCCAAGGAGTGGCTAGTGGATTTGAACCACCAACCTTCTGGTTAGCAGTCAAATGCCTTAGGTACTACACCACCCAAATTGGCACACTACCTTAACTACCACAAGTTGGTATCCTTAGCTGCTGGTAAAGAACAAAAATTGATAGGAGTTGACAGTGCCAACTTGATTTTCATTCAATCAGTCAATAATCACTGAATAGCTGAGGGCTTATCTGTGATTGATTTATTGACTGATTAATTCAGCAAACATTAGGAAGAACCCACAATGAGTAAGACTCTATGCTGAGCACATTTTTTATTTACCTCTGAATTTGCAAAAGAGTGATTTAAAATATCCCAATTGCAGAAGCAGTAGCAGCTATAACATCAACAAACAAACAGAGGCTCTTTTTTCACTCTAACCCCAGTAATGTATTTCTAATATAGCTCTTGGTATATTGCTTAGTAGCTTTTTCTTTAATTTTATATTCCATTATTGAAATTCTCTCTTTCAGATTGAAATATGTTATTGTTCATTTTTTAGCCACCCTCATGTTCAATCCAAATGCTGGTTGAATGAATCAATAAGGGCATCTCCAAATTCCCAGTGGAGAATCCAGCAAAAAATAAAGACTTCCCAATATTAACTGTCTTTAGATTTTTAGGAAAGAGTATATTCCAGGGAAAAAGTGTTATATAAGTAAATCATGTATATACTCAAACCTGGAAAGTAACATTTTATCTTTTATAAGTTAAGTCTCTCACCTCTAGGATGCTGTATTGCTCTGAATAAATATCACTACACTTACCACATTAATTGGTTGTGTCTGTCTTCATTAGTATTCTATAAATAAAGTCTTACTGAAGTAGAAAATGTGTATAAATCATTTTTGTGTTTCCAGTGTTTAAACAGTGCTTGGCACACATCATCCTCAATGGATGTTTAGAATGAATGAATATGTAACTCTTCCTGAGATTATTCATTAAAGAAGGCAATGCATTGGACAAATCTGCTACAAAAGACCTTTTTTAAAGTGTTAGAAAGCAAAGACATCACTTTGAGGACTAAGGTGTGCCTGATCTGAGCCATGTTATCTTTAATTGCTTCATATGCATGTGAAAGTTGGACAATGAATAATGTAGACTCTATGCTGAGCACATTTTTTTATTTACCTTTGAGTTTGCAAAAGAAAGATTTAAAATACCCCAACTGCAGAAGCAGTAGCAGCCATAACATCAACAAACAAACAGAGGCTCTTTTTTTCCCTATAGCCCCTGTAACATATTTCTAATACAGCTCTTGGTATATTGCCTTCTTCATTTGAATTATGGTGTTGGTAAAGAGTACTGACTACACTATGGACTGCAAGAAGAATGAACAAATCTGTCTTGGAAGAAGTACAGCCAGAATGCTCCTTAGAAGCAAAGATAGCAAAACTTCATCTCATGTACTTTGGACATACTATCGGGAAGGACCAGTCCCTAGAGGAGGACACAATGCACAGTGAAATAGAAGGTCAGAGAAAAACAGGAAGCACTGCAATGAGATGAATGGCACAGTGGCTGCTGTGGGCTCAAACATTAATTATTGTGACAATGGCACATGATCGGGCAGTATTTTGTTCTATTGTACATATGAGTTGGAACACACTCAATGGTGCCGAACAACACACAACAACTCAAATAAAATAACTGAAAACCTAGTCATTCACAACTATATCCCATTTAAATAAATGATATAACTACCCACCCATTTGATAAGAGCAAACATTTAGGGAGTTATCCTTGAATCTTTTCTTTTTCTACCCTCATCCTCTTCCCTTTCTGTTCCCAACCCATTACTCACTGAAAATATCCAATCAATTTGTAGGACCTGTGGTTCTATCTAAAATATATTCTGAATCTGACCATTTTTATCACTTCTGCCTTCACCATTAAGATCTTGCCTTAATTATTGCTATAGCCTCTAATTGGTCTTTTTATTTTATAGGACAACAGGAGAGACCTTTTGAAACCCACAAGTGGTTTTTCCTCGAGCTTAAAATAAAAGACAAATGCCACACTATGACCTTCAGTGCCCTACTTGGTCTGGCCTCCACCAAACTCTTCACTCTTATCTCCTATCATCTCCCTCTCTTTCTCCCACCTTCAGAGCCTGAGCCTTCTTCTTGTAATTGGAAGAAACCATGCTTATTTCCCTGCTCTTGTCCATTACATTTGCCATTTTCTCTTCTTGGAATACTCTTCTCCAGATCTCTACAAGGTGACTGCTCATTACACAGTTCTCTTTCATCTTATTCAAAGAGGCTTCTTTAAAATGGCTCTTCTGTCTCAATCACTCTCTATCCCATTTCTCTGATTTAGTTTCTTAACAGAATTTATCATACTTCCTCATATTATTTCTTTGCTTGTTAACTTTTTTAATGTCTGTCTTCTCTACTGGAAAGAGATTAGGGTTTGTATCTGCCTTGTTTACTGTTATACCCCTAGTGCTTTGAAGGGTAGGCACTCCTCTAAATATTTGTGGAATGATTCAAGGCTAATCTAGGGTGGGAAGTGTGTTAGTTTTATGATTTGTAAACCACTGGGGCTGATCTGCTATGGCTAATATACCAGATGTATTGAGAGGATCAACTCATGCCTCATTATCCATTCAAAGTTTATAAGAAGAGAAAAATATTTATTATTACAGACAACTCAGACTGGAACAGACTAGTATTTCATGGGGAAAACTAATTTATCCTATTAACTATTTGAAGGAAGTCAATTTAATCCATTAACAGTCTATTGAAAAAAGTATTGCATTCAATGTTATTAGATGTACAATCATGTTTATGGTACCTTCAGGGATTAGAGAGATGGGAAGCAAGTCATCTGCAGGATTGTTATGCCATTACATGTTATATATTGCTGTAGGACATTGCTTAATGACTATAATAAACATTATTTGTGTACTGACCTTTTTATCCCTCCAAATGTTTGTGCATGACCTAAGAATTTTCCAAAGTCAATATGAAACATGTGGCCTGACTTTGTCAGCATAATGTTGTCATTGTGACGATCACAGACTCCCAGGATGAATGTTACCACACACCAGCCAGCACAGGAATAGAAAAAATTCTTCAAGGCCTAATCATTTGAAAAACAGTAACAACACAAAAATAACAGGAAAAAAAATGACAAAATACATTATTATCAGAGGTAATGGTAAAAAGAAAAAGATAAAAAGCACAATTACACAATCAAGAATAATTTCTACATCTCAGTGGAAGAAGGGTACAGTAAAGTGGCTGATTTGTAATATCCTAAAGAAAAACATGGAGCAATCTGTTCTTTAACCTAATAGATGAATGTTTTCATTGAAACAGGGAAGATATCTCTCTCATTCAGATGGAGTTAATTTTCATGATTTACAAGAAGATTTCTGGGATGACTTTTTATTTTTGCATCAAATATACAATATTGGATTTTTTTTTTCCAAAGTAAAAGAAGAAGAAACAATATGGCTCAATATTGCCCATCTTCAAAGAAATAGAAAACATTTTAGCTGTTGTTGGATACTGCATCAATTTCTGGATACAGAAAAGGCTATATTGCAATATCTGTTATATTTTGTTTATAATTATATATATAGGCCATCAAGTGGTGGCCAAATTGTTTTGGTACAGTATATATATATACATGTACCTGTATGGGTGAAAGCATACTACTACTAAGTCAATTGTGGCTTATATTTCTTTAATAAACAGGTTTCTTGCCAAAAGTAATATTCTTTGTCATCAACTTAGTCTCCATTCAACCATGAGTGATTTGTTGGGTCATGATTATGGGTTTCATGGAATGGAGTGGCTGACTTTCTGGAGTGGAGGGATCTATCACTGGACTAAATGTCAGATACTTTGGTTTTATGCCTCTCAAGGTACTAGACGAGTCATCTAATTTATCTGTGTTGATATTCTTCACTGATAAAGTGAAGATAATAAAGTATGTTCTGGGTACTTCACACATGGTGATTGTGAAGAGAAAATGCATGTGAAATACTTCAAAAAACACAAAAAGGGCTAAATAAATGCAAACCTCACTCCAAGGAATTTGTTGTAAAACTCAAAGTTATAATTTTGGGACTGGATGAACAGTAGATTTCAAGAATATCATCAAATTCTTTGGTATTTGCTCCCTAAAAGCCTCTGCTTTGCTCCACTTGAACTTCGTAGAACTATGGAATATAAGAACTCTCAAGTCACCATGTTATCAAAGGTTGACTGACTGTCCAATTTGCCTGAGGCTGAGGACCATTCAGAACAAGGGAATGGCAGTGCTAAAACTAGAACAGTTTTGAACAAACTGAATGTTAACCCATATACACGTTTGTGTAAATTAGAACAAAGTCACACCTGCCTAAGGGTCAACTCAGCCGCACCAGTTCAAGGCTTGGCAAGTGAAATAAGATTTGCCTGTGGCCTGACTCTAGACACGGTCATCCCTTTAGCAGGGAGCTCTGGTACTGGGCAAAGCATGCACAACTGATTCCAGGAAAAAGAAAAGTGGGAGAAAAATGTTTGCAGCTAAATATAAGGGTACATTTTGTAAAGTCCTGAAATATAAAAAATAAAAACCTAAGAAAAGTAGTACAGGGAAGAAAAACTGTATTGCAAAAAAAAGATGGAGATTTTTAGAAATTTGATTGTGTGTACATATAGATGGAGTTTACTTGAAGGAGGTAGTTTAAAGAGTCATTGTCTCAGTGGGTGAGATTACTGTAAGGGAGGCAGCTGAGTGAAGAGATCCTTATCTGATAGTCAGAAATTCCACCCAGAAGGAAAACCAAATGGCAGAAACTTTTCTGTAGTTAATATTCCATTTAAACTGGATCATTATTACTGGGCTGATGACTGAGTAAATGAGAACCAAAACCCACTGCCATCAAGTTGATTCCAATTCATAATGACCCAATAGGACAAAGTAGAAGTCCCATAGGGCTTCCAAGGCTGTAAACTTTTTTTTTTTTTTTTTAATTGTGATTTGGGTGCAATTTTGCAAAGCAGATTTGTTAAAGAATGTAAATCTTTACAGAAGCCTACCACTTCATCTTTTTCCAGTGGAGCAGCTGGTAGGTTTTGAACTGCTGACCTTTTGGTTAGCAGCTGAATGCTTAACCATGCTCCACCAGAGCTCCTTAATGAGAACTCAAAGTATATTTAATTTACTTTTCCATAAATCAGAATATCTAATGGACTAGATCATATCCTTATTAAAGTATATCATTTAAAATTACAGCAGGACAAACCTTTTCATAATCTGCCCTTATAAGGTTGTGCTCACTGAACCACTTCTTGATTGTATTTTCTTTCAGTGGTCCTATCAGTCCAGAATGTCGATGAATCTTTGCTAGGGTTACAGCATCAGGCACCATCTGCACCAATCCTGGTTGATAAAAAAGAGTTTAGGGGGGCAATTCTTTCTTCAGAGGATGAGGGATATTTAGGGAACATGTCTTGATTTATGTAAAACTACAGCAGTTATCAGCCCTGCATGAATCACACATCTCCTTTCCAAAGAAAGCATCTTTTCAGAAGATGCCCTATCTAGATGGTATTCCTATTAAATCTTCCTAACTCCTAGGGAGCAATAAGGCTATTGGTTGTGGTTGAATCAGATTTGTCAGAAGCAGCTTTAATTTTTCTTTCTTTTTCCCTAGAACTTTAAAAAAAAAAAAAAAATCAAACGCACTGCCATTCAGTCAATTCTGACTCATAGCGACCACCTTTGGGTTTCTGAGGTGGTAAATCTTTATGAGGGAGCTCTGGTAGTGTAGTGTATAAGTCACTTGACTGCTAACCAGAAGGCTGGTGGTTCAAATCCACCAGCCACTCCCTGGAAGGAAGATGGGGCAATCTACTTCCGTAGTGATACTGCCTCAGAAACCCAAGGAGGGGTCGCCTTGAGTCAGGTCCGACTCAACGGCACATAACAACCACAACAAATATTTATGGAAGTGCATTGTCCCATTGTAGGAGCAAATCTAGCCAGTCTCTGTCTCACAAGAGACCTCACAAAGTTAACAGAGTAGTAGATTAATTACTATATTACTGGTGAATTCATTACCGTTTAAGGGAAGAAATTCATAGTCATATACCAAATATTTATGACTTAAGTGAACCAAACACAATCTTCAAGCAAATATTTCAAATATATTATAAAAATCAATGTACAGGTTAACAAAAGCTTTACTTTTAAATGCTACGTTTCTGGGAGTGAACAAAATAAGTTTGTAGCAAACACTTTGAGATCTATCTGCTCCTTCTCAGTCAAC